CAGTGCAGCCGGTCGCAAAAAGGACAAAAAAAAAAAAAAAGTTCTTTCTTGTTCCAAAACACCCAAGCTTTACTTATTTGCTGCCCCAGATTAAAATCCACTGACAGCTGATAAGGTTTATTCTTTAGCAATACTTCTTGGAAAGTTTTTCATTAAAAAAAAAAGCAAATCAAACCATATAGATAAATCTTTTTTTTTTTTTCCTTTTTGTCTTTTTTCGTGACCGGCAACGGATCGCAACCCTCAGTGTCGTGCCCGTACCGGACTGGGACCGGCAACGGGATCGCAACCCTCGGTGTTGCGCCCGCACCTCGCTCAGCCAGTGAGCGGCCGGTCTGTATGTGGGATCCAAACCCTCGGCGGGAGCGCCACCACACTCCCAAGTGGCGCACTACAGCAGTGCGCCACCGGGCCGGCCCCATATAGATAAATCTTGAATAGCAGGAGGGATGCAGCATAAAGATTATTTTAGTTTTATTCCCTTTTCAATTGTTCAGAGTAACTAGGGGAAAATGCTGACCTTCTTTCCTCTATTGAGTGGATTTTTAAAAAAAAATAGCTATAGAAAAACTGTAAACAGATACATACATACATATACATACACACACACTATATGTATGCATGTCCACATATATGTATGTACGAGGGGTCTTCAAAAAGTTCATAGATATATTCATATTATCTTTTTTTGCTGGCATCTGGCCGGCATATTTTCAATGCCATTTTTCTATGAACTTTTGAAGTACACTTGTATTTATACATATACATGAAGTTTTGTACTCACCAAAGTTTATGCTTATTTAATCATGGAGGAAACACATGACTAGAAAAATCGAGAACTAAACTCATACACAAAGAGTCATTAGAAATTAGCACAACTGAGGGCCGGCCCATGGCTCACTTGGGAGAGTGTGGTGCTGATAACACCAAGGCCACGGGTTCGGATCCCAATATAGGGATGGCCGGTTGGCTCACTTGGGAGAGCGTGGTGCTGACAACACCAAGTCAAGGGTTATGATCCCCTTGCCGGTCATCGTTTAAAAAAAAAAAAGAAAAAAGAAATTAGCACAACTGTATTTCCTATTAATCCAGTGCATGAATGTAGCTCATTTCATTAGCGTAAAGCTAACACTGAAAAGCGAAATTCCCCTTCAATTCTTATATGACTTTTGAAAATGTTTTAAATAACATTATGACAAGAAACATTACAAAGGCTGGTCAGCTGGCTCAGTTGGTTAGAGCACAGTACTGATAACACCAAGGTCACGGGTTCCGATCTGCTTGCCAGCCACCAAAATAAAAAAAAGACACATTTCAAGAAGCAAAAAACAGTAGAAAGTTTCCACAGCAAACTGAAGATTCTTTGATTTCTGTAGGTATTTCAAAAATTGTAGTAAGGCTTACAGTGAGATTTACTTGGGGAAATAAAGTGTGTATGCAAGAAAAACCTGACTCAGTGAGGTGAAATGAAACTCCATTAACACTGGGCCAGGCACATTTGCCATTCATTCCTACAGCAAATATTCATTACTGCCCACTACGCGCCAGGCATCTAGAAGACACAATCCCTGTTGTCCTGCACTTTATAGTCAGGTGAGGCAGAGACTGAACAAATTAAATGAAATTCTTTTTTTTTTTAAAAGATGACCGGTAAGGGGATCTTAACCCTTGACTTGGTGTTGTCAGCACCACGCTCACCCAGTGAGCCAACCGGCCATCCCTATATGGGATCCGAACCCGCGGCCTTGGTGTTATCAGCACTGCACTCTCCCGAGTGAGCCACGGGCCGGCCCCAAATGAAATTCTTAAACATGTTATTTAACTATTTTTATGAGAAAAGCTACAAAAAAAGGCCGGCCCGTGGTTCACTCGGTAGAGTGTGGTGCTGATAACACCAAGGCCACGGGTTCGGATCCTATATAGGGATGGCCGGTTTGCTCACTGGCTGAGCGTGGTGTTGACAACACCAAGCCAAGGGTTGAGATCCCCTTACCGGTCATCTTTTAAAAAAAAAAAAAAAAAAGAAAAGCTACAAAAATACAGTATGTGGTAAGAGCAGAGGGGCAAGCTAGGGGAAAGTTAGGGAAGATCTGAAGAAAGAACAGGAGGAAGAAGGAAGTCTGCATTCCAGGTGTTACTTCATTTAATTCTTACAACTCTAGGTTAAGTAACTTTCCCAAGGTCACAGGACTACTAAGTGTCAGAACCAGGCCTTGAAACCAGGATTTTTTTTTTTTACAAGATGACCGGTAAGGGGATCTTAACCCTTGACTTGGTGTTGTCAGCAACATGCTCACCCAGTGAGCTAACCAGCCATCCCTATATGGGATCCGAACCCAGGGCCTTGGTGTTATTAGCTTATTAGCACCACACTCTCCTGAGTGAGCCACGGGCCGGTCCTGAGACCAGGTTTGAATGATTCCAAAGTCCATGATTTTTCCACCATGTCAAGATGCTTCTTTCCAAAACCATTTCTTCTGAAACTTAATGGAAAGATGTTGATTCTACTCCAGATTCTAAATGGCAGAATTAGACTCTTTCCTCCAGACTGTGCCCTGTTTTTCACCTGCCACCTCCAAACTCATTTTCACAGACCTTTAGATTTGGGATGCTAATATACATAATTTGTTCATCCAGACCATAACCAAATAATTTTTTAGATTATCACTTTGTTGTACTACAAATAAAACACAGAACTTTCTGGCAAACTGTTTTACAAAGTTACTAATAGATTACAGGGAACAAAATCAATTAAAGAGCTATGGACACTGGTCAGGGCAAAGATAAAATAAAATCAACTACATAAAGAGCAAAGAAAAAGCCATACTTTTTTTTTTTTTCAAAGATGACCGGTAAGGGGATCTTAACCCTTGACTTGATGTTGTCAGCACCACACTCACCCAGTGAGCCAACCGGCCATCCCTATATGGGATCCGAACCTGTGGCCTTGGCGTTATCAGAACCACACTCACCCGAGTGAGCCACGGGCCGGCCCCAAAAAAGCCATACTTTCACTTATGAAATGACTTTCACATTCAACAACTTTCATCTATGATTCGGATCTCTATTAAGGAGGGCTGCACTTTCCCTTCTTCCTGTTCCACTTCCTCCTCCTCAGCTCTTCCATTTTTAGGAATATCAAAGTTCAAAACAAGGGGGGTCTTTTGGGGTTTTATTTTTAAAAAGATGACCGGTAAGGGGATCTTAACCCTTGGCTTGGTGTTGTCAGCACCACGCTCAACCAGTGAGCTAACCAGCCATCCCTATATAGGATCTGAACCCGTGGCCTTGGTGTTATCAGCACCGCACTCTCCCGAGTGAGCCACGGGCCGGCCCTAAAAAACAAGGTTTTTATTACATTAGATCTGTTGTGAGCTATAGCAAGAGAACACAGTCTTACAAAAATCAAATCTGGGGCCGGCCCGGTGGCGCACTGCTATAGTGTGCCACTTGGGAAGCACAGCGGCGCTCCCACTGAGGGTTCGGATCCCACATACAGACCGGCCGCTCACTGGCTGAGCGAGGTGCGGGGGCAACACCGAGGGTGGCGATCCCGTTACCGGTCCCGATCCGGTACGGGCACGACACTGAGGGTTGCGATCCGTTGCCGGTCACAAAAAAAAGAGACAAAAAGGAAGAAAAAAAAAAAAAAATCAAATCTGGCAGGCTTTTCTTTCCTCCACATTCTTCCTTGTGATTTTTAATACTGTCGAAGAACATAAAAAAGCTATGTTGTTTAACCTAGGATTCACCACAAGCAGATTATAAACCACTTAAATAATCCTTTGCTCTCCTATCTGTACAAGATAACAGAACTTAAAAAAAAAAAAAAAGTTTAGGGCCGGCCCATAGCTCACTCGGGAGAGTGTGGTGCTGACAACACCAAGTCAAGGGTTAAGATCCCCTTACCAGACATCTTTAAAAAAAAAAACTACAAAAAGTTTATCCAAAGACCTCAACCTTCTACCTTTTACCTCTGGGGCTACCAACAATACTGCAAATGACAAGCTGGCTATGAAAATCAGACTACCACAGACTCAGCCAGAATTATACTCCCAGAAGAGTCTCTCACAACTTTCAGTTTTTTAAAAAAAATATGCAAATACAGACAGGGAGAGAGTGAGCGCCAGCGCCAGACACCAACAGTGTGAAGAAAGATGAATGACAGGCTGTGGCCAACAGAAGTAAAACTAATTTGGAAAGAACTCACTACTCAAGACGCCTGATGCATATCTTCTTCCAAGGGACAAACAGTCACTAATGGCAAGACCCTAAAATACAGGATATGCAGTATTAAATCCACAGCTTCCAAATACTGTCCTAGAAGTAACATCACTTAATTTCTTGAAGCTTGAGGCTACTTCGCAAAGTTAACAGAGCAATGATGCTGGAAGACCTAATTACGTATTGTTCAGGAAACTTAGGGATTATTTGGAGCAACGGACACAGTATAAATCAAAACATCATATAGTTAATTACGCAGGATTTATGAGTTTAGATTTTGGGATTCTCTGGTAAGTATTATTTTACAACATAATTATATACATATGGTTTGTTCACCCTGATGAATTTCCTCACTGAAGGTGAAATGCAGCTTAATGTTTTATTACTCGTTTATTGCCAGTCACGTTGCTCACACAACACCTCAATAAGTAACGTTCCTTTTGAACTGTAGTTACTAGACTTGTCCCGTGTTGTGCCATCGAAAAAACCGTAGTCTAACATGCTCTTTTCCCCTGACACGCCTGAAGCACACGAGTGGAACATTACAGAGAACTTTTATATAATGAAAGTATTGAATGTCTCTGGCCCTTAATATACTGAGCACCCACCTCTGGCAAATGACAAAGGCAGCAACCAATTGCCAGGCAGGAGCCCAATGTCTTAGCCAATAAGAATGTGGGGGTGGGGTTAGACTAAGCTCCCGGTGACTTCCCCGCACCCTAGAGACCCAGGTTGTGGGAGATTGGGCGGGGATTGGACTCCGAGGATCTCGTTACCCCCGGTTGTAGCTGTTGTCCTCTTCGTTCTCGCAATCGCTGCAGTGCTCATGGCCGTTTCCCTGCCCTTCTATCATCTGCGGCAGCGGAGGTGCCGGCGGCTTCACTGCTGTCTCACTCTCGTCCGCCATCTTGAGTTGCGAGAGCCGGGCTCCGCGCCCCGCTACATGGGGTGTTCCTATTGGACGAGGGAAATTTGCGCTGTGTTGTGGGCTTTGTAGTTTTTGTAGTGAAGGGAGCCGCCATTGGGAGCTATTCATTTCCCGAAAACCGGAAAAAATGGACTACAATACCCAGAAATTATGAGGAGAGGCTGTCCTGGGAGGGGTTGGCAGCAATACCCGGAAGCCTAGGCGTTCGGCCGCGCTTTGAGGAAAGAAGAGCCGAGAGGGTGGTGGCGTCGACCCTCCCCGACCCGCGCGGCCGCTTGGCATGCTGGGAGTTGTAGTTCAATGCTTGTTCGGGGCGTGGAGGCTCCAAAGTTCAAGCTTTGACTTCAGCCTGCCCTTGCTAGGGCCTGGGCCATAGGTGAGCCGTTATTGGCTGCCATTAAGGACCGTTACCTTTCCCAGGTAAGTGAGAAGCATGAGGCCTGCGGGTGCGACCCGCCGGGAGCCCGAATGCGACGGGCCGTTTTGGAGAGTGCTTTCCTGCGGGACGCCAAGTTGGCTCCTAGCTGCCTTCCTCATGCAGGAGTATGGGCAGCCCCCAGTTGTTGGCAGTTCAATGCCTTATGAGAGGTGGCAGATTGTGGTACGTGGAGCATTGAGCCTGAGCCAAGAGATATGACTGCTCGGCAGGTAGGGCTCGACGCATCTTGGCCTCCGGGTTCTGGTCACGACGCTCTTCCACGCACGTAGTCCCTTTCAGTCCCCACAGGAGCCCTCCACAACGACTCTAATGAGCACTCAAATGCCAGGCTCTGTGGTAAGGCTTTTCGTACATTATTTCATTTAATCCTCTCAACAAGCCTAGAATGTGGGTGCTATTGTTATTCCCTTTTCCACATACCAAAAAAACGTGGCCCAGAGAGGTTGGTAAATTGCACAGTCACGTAGCTAGTAAGTGGCAGAATCAGTACACAAATCCAGATCTATCTGCCCCTAGACGCTCTGAATTCTTTACCACCACAAAGGTCTCATTAGTCTGATACACGTATCCACCCAAGGAAATCATTTATTAGGAGATAACTGTGACATCTTAATCTATTTTGAGCCATGACTGAATGCTTCAGTCCCTTGGGTCTTACTCCTGTGAACAAGTAATCTCATTGGAGGCCTAAGGAGAGAGCCTAATGACATGGTTCCCATTCTTAGAGATTTCCTACTTAGGTTGGGTATGGTGGGTGGTGAAGGACTAGTTCTTACCGTCAGAGAGTTCCATGGCCAAAAAGGGAAATGATCTTAGCCTCTGGGAAACTCTCAACATGGGAAGAAATAGTTCCCATCTCAATAAGGGAAAGAAAACAAATAAAACATATTGCTAAATATAGTCAACTCTGTTTTCATTTCAGTGGCAGGAGCAGGAGCAAATATAATCCAAAGCAGCAGATAATCCCTAGATATTCATATTTGACTTTGGAAGGCAAGCAAAGATGTCTACTCAGGCTGAGAGCTGTCACCCTCACTCATCTGTCCAGGGCCAAGGTCCTTTATTTGCAGGAGAAGGGGAAGTCAGAGATAATAATAAAGTCTTACATGTGTTAAGTGGATTTAACTTTTGTAAATGTTTAACCTACTTTAGCTCATATGACCTTGTGAAGTAGATAGGGAAGAAGATTTGAAGAAAATTGTGTATACAGAAAAAAATCACAGCGATACCCAGTTGCAGAGCTTGGACTAGAATTCACGTCTGCTATTCTGATTCCCAGCCCTGTGTTTTCTTTCCCCACAGATACACACAGGTGGAATGAATGCTAATAAAGTATCACCATGGGAGAGTGATTATAGGGAATGAGGTGCTGGTTTTCATGGACCCTGCCATTCTTGTAGTTCAAAACTTAAGACATTGCCTTATATTTTAATATAGATAGAACAGTTTTTGCTCAGTGGAAAGCCTTTCTGGGAGGTAGGCAAGCAATGTGGCTGTCAAAACCAAGCTCAGAATGCAAGTGCAAGTTCAAAGTTCCAGAATCCAGCACCTCAGAGAATTTCAGCATTAGAAAGGACCTAAGAAGCACTTAGTCTCTCTCTCTCTCTCTCAGGAATTTTCCTTTTTTTTTTTTTTTTTTTTTTTGGCAGCTCTAACCAACAACTGGCTGGCTTGCTCAGGCTTTTTCAAGTTGGAGTCCTCACTTAGATTTTGTAGGATCCATGATTTCTCTATAATAAAATCGAAGTTTTATGTTTTTAAAGAGATATTGAGTATATGTGATCACTTCTTTTAAATGATTCCTGGTAACAATATTGTCACATGTCATTTTGATGCCTAAGTTTATGTTTGGTTTATCAGTAATATTGGTACCGAATGATCAACAGGCTGGCCTGTTAGCTCAGTTGGTTAGAGCATGATGCTGATAACACCAAGGTCCAGGGTTCCATCCCTGTACTGGCCAGCCACCCACCTCTCCCCACCAAAAAAAAATTACTGAGTGATCACCTAAAGCAGAGCAATCTAGGGTTTCCTAAACTGGGTCTACGTGTGTTTTCTTGGCGTTCCAACAGTTCTCATATTTGTTCCTCCCCATTCCCCTGTAAAAGAGCTTTCTACTTTCAGACAGCTCTAATTAGTGGAAAGTTGGCTAAGTTCTGCCTTATGGAGTGATGCAGAAATACATAATCCTGGGGCCGGCCCGTGGCTCACTCTGGAGAGTGCGGTGCTGATAACACCAAGGCCACGGGTTCAGATCCCATATAGGGATGGCCAGTTAGCTCACTGGGTGAGCGTGGTACTGACAACACCAAGTCAAGGGTTAAGATCCCCTTACCGGTCATCTTTTAAGAAAAAAAAAAAAAAAGAAATACATAATCATGTGTTCTTGTAATAGTTGTTACATTTTGTGTGTGATTTTACTTTTGTGTGGTTATTCAGTTTGTGATTACTTTCCCCTACAAGACCTTACATTCTATGAGAACTGAGTACAAGTTGGATTTTCCTCACCTCTGTATTCCTTGGGCCAGCACACAATAGGTCCTCGATTAATATTTGTTGGATTCTTTAACGTATGAGTGAGTAAATGAGAGAATGGTGAGAATCAAGGGATAAAGTCTTCAGGGTGGGGAAATGTAACAGCAAAGGGCAAAGGCAGGAACACACAGTATATTGACCCCTTATGTTTGTACAGTGCTTTATTGCTCACAAATGCACTAGCACGCCATCTTGTCTGATCCCTTTGTTTGTCCCTGTGTGATGAGCAGGTCAGGTGTTACTTCTGTTTTACAATGAGAAAACAAAGAATTTCAGTGATTTGTCCAAAGTTTCACAGCTACTTAGTGTGGCGTTTAGACTTAAAGGTGGATGTTTTAACACAAAGCCTGGTGCAATAAACTAGATTACCTTCTTCCTTCCCCTTTTTCATGGGGGAGCATATGGTGAGACATATGTCTGGATGGGTGATTGGAGCCAGGTCACAGAAGGCCTTAAGTTTCAGGCTAAGGAGTTTGGACTTTAGTTTCCAACCGGGGAGGACATAGGGGAGGTTTTTTTTTTTTTTCTTTTGAAGCTTTTAAATAAAGGATAAATATTAATGGTATTTGTAAAGTATGGTATAAATTTAATTGCATATTAATATTTATTTAAAATAAACATACAGAAAATTAAATTAATTTTAAGAACCAGGAGTCAAAGGAGTCATCTCTAATGGACTCAGAGTGTTGCTCATCAAACAAAACTTGAAGCAGCGCTATATTCCAGGCAATATGCTAGAGGTTAAGGACACAGAAGTGACTGAGATGCAGGTTCTTGTCAGGATGAAATGAGATCCTGTAAGCAGCTAGAGCCAGCTCAAAGCTTATTATTGCTATCTGAATAATGGAGGTTTTGTTTTGTTTTGTTTGCAGCTGGCCAGTATGGAGATCTGAACACTTGACCTTGGTGTTATCAGCACCATGCTGTGCCAAGTAAGCTAAACTGGCCAGCCCAGATATGTGTTTGAGCTGAAAAGGCCCTTGATGGCATCATCTCAAAACTGCAAACACTGAGTTTTGGTACAGAGGAGGTGCCTGGATTGAAGCCCCTGCAGCAGGCCCTTCAGCCTTTTCTTTGGGATCATCCCAAGGCAGAGGTGCAGCTGCCGTTAGCAGATTGGACCACAAGGACACCTACTTAGAAGACAAGGCCCTCACTTGTACACCAATAGTTCACAGTACTATAAGGCAGTATCTGGGAAAAGTAGGATTATCTGGAGAGGGTTCCTAACAATATGCCCTAGGAAGATCCACGTAACTTTGTGGGGAGGGCAAGCAGGTTCCTATCTCTGTCACTGTCTTGGCCAGCCATGGTTACCGATGGGACTCTGGGAATCTCTCTGATGTGTCAGGAGTAGGGAAAAGGTTGAGAACCACAGAGCTAGGTTATCTGTAAGTTGTTTGGTCAAGGAAGGGGACTGAGCCATTAGATCTGGGTTTATAGAATAGGAATTAGATTTGTCCCGTGTGGCCCTATGGTTTAGAACTAGGAGAGGTATTATCTGAGGAAGTACTTTTCTTTTTTCTTCTTTTCTAACCACTATACTAAAGAGGATGAGGAAGAACTTTCTTACTGCCAGAACTGTGCTTCTTTTTTTTTTTTTTTTTTTTTTTTTTAACCCCTATACTAAAGAGGATGAGGAAGAACTTTCTTACTGCCAGAACTGTGCTTTTTTTTTTTTTTTTTTTTTTTAACCCCTATACTAAAGAGGATGAGGAAGAACTTTCTTACTGCCAGAACTGTGCTTTTTTTTTTTTTTTTTTTTTTTAAAAAAAAGACCGGAAAGGGGATCTCAACCCTTGGCTTGGTGTTGTCAGCACCACGCTCAGCCAGTGAGCAAACCGGCCATCCCTATATAGGATCCGAACCCGTGGCCTTGGTGTTATCAGCACCGCACTCTCCCGAGTGAGCCACGGGCCGGCCTAGAACTGTGCTTCTTGAACAAGACAATGAAGCAGTGAGTTCCCCAACACCGGACACCTCCAAGTATAGATGGCCCTTTTGATCATAAGATGGAATCCTATTTATTGGGTGATGGCAGTAAGTCTCTTTGACTGTTGAAGCTGAGGAGAAAGGTTTTACAAAGGGCCGGCCTGTGGCTCACTTGGGAGAGTGTGGTGCTGATAACACCAAGGCCATGGGTTTGGATCCCTATATAGGGATGGCTGGTTCGCTCACTTGGGAGAGCGTGGTGCTGACAACACCAAGTCAAGAGTTAAGATCCTCTTACCAGTCATCTTTTGA